TGATATTCTCTAGAAACATTGTATTGTTTTTAGTGATCAAGACGGCCTTCCATGGCGAAAACGTCGGCCTCCACATCAAGGTGGCGGCCATCTTGAACTGCCCGGTCGATAAGCTGGAGAGCATCTACTCTCCCGACAAGTTGATTCGAATCAAGGACCAACTGAAAGGTTTTTAGTAATTTCTATTTTCCACATTTATTCAGGTCTTTTGTGCAACCGAGCTACCTGAAAACCCAGCGGGTCATCAAGATCAAGCAGGACGGGGCTCTCGGCTGAATAAGCACGAGCTCGATATTGATGGAAAGAAGCTGACGGTGACCAACTACTTCCCTGCAGAAATACAATATTCAGCTCAAGTAAGTCTTACTTTGCGCGAGTAAGTTTTTTGTTATGTTTAGGTACCCATCGTACACGGGTCGTTAACGACCGCGGCTCGGTCTACCCAATCGAATGTCTCATCGTCGCCCCGAATCAGCGTGTCAGAGGAAGTCAGCAGTCGCCGGACCAGATGAAAACCCAGATCAAGGTAAGGGTACCTGTTGGGGGTACCCTGCAATGCCTGCCGATCTTTCAGGCTTGCGCGACGCTGCCCGCCATTCGTAAAACAAACCGACCGTCTGATGAAGTCGATGGAGCTGTCGCCTACTTCTTCGAACAAGCTTCTCGCTGCAAACAGCGCGAAGATCGATCGGGCCCGCTGCTGGTCGATGCTCGCGTCCTCCCGGTTCCGGTCGTTAGCACCAGTCGAACAGGCTGATCCCCGTTCAGGATGTATGATTTCAACGATCTCCTCACGTAGTTCTTTAGGCCAAATGGTCGAACAACGGCTTCGCCAAACCGGCGGTGGTGGCTGGATTGGGTTGTCTTCCTTCTTCTCGACGAAAGGGATCTCGAACGAATCCGATCAACGGAGCGAAGAGGTTCGCCATTCGATGGACATCGGCCGACAAATGGCATGCAGGTCGGAGAGCCGAAGGAATATTTGTCGGTGGACCGCTTCAAGGTATAGTTCTGGTTTCAATTATATATTTAGCCACGCTCCACGGCTTTTCACCCTGGGTTTCGTCTAGGCAACGACTACGAAAATACTTTGCATATTCTGCCCAAATCCCGCTGACAAAATAGGAAGCCTCCAGCCTGATTTTATAGGCAATATCCACGTTCGGCGCATGCAAATTTTGCCTAACAAAGGTCCTTTCCAAAAACCTAAAGGGCTGTCGAACTCTATAAGAATTTTGAAAATCTAATAAGTCGGCAATCATCCCCACCCATTACGCATCAAATGACGTATCAAACATGTCCGAAACTTCTTCCCTGACCCGTTATGAGCTGAACATACATCCGGAAGTCGATGCAAATCTACACAGAAACACACACACTATTTTTTTATATATAGTAGGATCCTTCTCAGTTGGACCAACGCCTTCGAGGAGAGGCGAAGAAGAAGGCCGTCAAGTCCATCTTGTTCGGTGCCGCCCGACCTTTGCGGCGCGTACCTTTGCGGCGCGCGAACTTTGCGGCGCGACCGACTCTGCGGCTGCGAACAACTTTGCGGCGCGAATTTTGCGGCGCGAACCTTGCGGCCGAAGATCGCGGCGCGAATTTCGCGGCGCGAACATTGCGGCCGAATGGACGGCGCGATGCTTAGGCACAGGCCTTAGGTTATTTTTTGCACTGCATCCCAATTCCTTCATAGAAACGTTAGGAGACTGTTTTGCAACAGGAGTCACTCGATTTCCCCAAATTCATCGCTGGCCTAACTTTCGCTCCCCGACTAGAAAAGGAAACCGTGCCACCGGGGCCTGTCGCTTCGGATGGGTGCGAGCTCTTCCGGGGTTTCGAATCACCCCGCCCGAGCAGCGAAGCGCCCAGGCCTCGTTTCGAAAGAGTGGGCGGCAGCCCATCCGAACGACGCCTACCTGACGCCCTCAGGGTCTCCCCCCGGCAGTGCGGAAAGTTGCAGTTGACCGCTATGGAATATTACCGAAGCAAAACTGGCGGTGATTCTGATTCTGAATTTCTGAAATTCATCTGAGGCTATCTGATCCTGAACCCAAAACAAATTCTGAATTTTAAATGAATTTCCATTAATATCTGTTGCGCCGCAAAGTTCGCGCCGCAAAAGTGCGCGCCGCAAAATTCGGCCTGCAATGTTCGCGCCGCAAAGTTCGCGCTCGCGTAAAATTCGCGCTGCAAAGTTCGCGCCGCAAAAGTGATCGCCGCAAGTCCGGGGGTGCCTCTTGTTCCTCCAGAGCGGCACGCTTCAGCACCATGGTAATAGTTCCGCGATCTTCTTCAACCTCATCTAGGGAAATCAAGGCCCTGGAGCAGGAAGTACCAGATCCTCACACAGGATCTCCAGTACAAGCGCACCACCGAGACTGGCCGCCGCGACACCATGAAGAATATCGTGCAAAAGTTGGAATATGAAGTTCGGCGGACTGAACCACTACCGTCTCGACACGGGCAAGACCATCAAGCAGCGAAATTTGATCATCGGTGTTAGTGCGTTGACCCTTACCCGCTGACTTTTTATCTCCCCCCTCCGCCGGCGCGCTGCCGGCAGATCCTCACAGACAGCCAGCTCATTGTCGCTGCTCTGCTTGATGATCTTGCTGGAATCGTCGTGCTGACCCCTGAGCTCGCCTTGAATTTTTGATCACTTATGTTAGGAACACTTCATATTCTTTTTTTAGTTTACGCACCCTCCGCCTACTGCTCCTGGCCAGCCGCCGGCTAGCCCATCAGTTCTGGGCTTCTCGTCCAACTGCTCCGGCGACCTGCAGAGCAACGTTGGCGACTACAGAATTCATCCAAGCTCGCGCTGGCGCCGATCGTTCGGCTATCGATGGCCCGCTGAAGCAGCTGTTCGCAGGAGTGCCCTCAGCCATTCAAGGTCTCTTACGGCGCCATCCCGGAGACGATCTGGCTGTACCGCAACGGCGCCTCCGAGGGTCAATTTCCTGTGGTACGGTTCCACTTTCAACTTCTTTAGTATATTCTGGTTTAGTTGCTGAACAAGGAAATCCCCGCTGTTCTACCAGGCCGTCCACGAGGTGACCAGGGCTCCCTTCCAACCCGAAGCTCGTTTATATTGCTGTCAGCAAGGACCACGTCCATCGCTTCCTACCCGGAGAATTGCCAGGGAGGCCTCGGCGACGCTCCAAAACGTTCGCCCGGGCACCGTCATCGACAACGGCATCGTCTGCGCCTTCTCGCAGCGAATTCTTTTGGAACGCTCATCTGGCTTTCCAGGTTGACAATGTTCTCTGACCCTTTTAATGATTTTTGCAGGGAACGGCGAAGGCGCCGAAATACACAATCCTTCGAATGGCAGGTGATGGTTGAACAAGCCTATCTACACCATGGACCAGATCCAAGATACTTTCCGATCTTTGTTTAGTATCTTATCAGGTCTTTTATTACTCCGTTTATTTAGAGCTGACGCGTGCCCTGACCTTTCTCCGTGGAATCGTCAGCTATGGCCATCCCCTTCCAGCCCGCTGCGCGTTGCCTCGGAAAGCGCCAAGCGCGGCAGCCCAACTACGCTCCAGGAGCGCATCAAGCCGAGTGTATGTTTTCGCTTTCTTTTCGATACTATGGTTTGGTTTAGTCACGGCAATGTCGACCTGGAGGACATTGAAGTGCTCAACAAGGAGATGGTCTACAGCGGCCGCCAACTCTCCAAGGTGCGCTTCAACGCCTGAGAGCATCGAAGCTGACAGACCATTCGATCTTTAATTTTATTTCTACTCGGTTATTATGTTCATTCATTGTTTTGTAAATAAAGGTTTTATGGTTGCGCGAGTATCTCTGCTACAACCAGAATAGGCATCTGGGTACTTGCCTGAGCCAGTGGAACATCGTTTTTGCTGAATTTTCCCACAAACGCGCAGATTGGCATCGTACGATTTCTTGAGCACGATTGCTGCCATACGGGCTTGAGAGACCTTGAGGAGTCATTTTTTTAGGTGTGTGAAAAACTTTCGCTGTAGACCTATAGTTATATGAAAACCATGCTATTTTGTTAGGGGCTGGTGAAGAGCTAAAACTTGTTATGTTCGGTATGCGATGAAAACTGTAAAGGATTGGCAAGAGAGGGGAAAAGCCCGGAAACGGCTGGGTGCCATGACGTGAATCGAGCCCATCCTTCCCTCTACTCGGCCTCGAGCGAGGGTGATCGGGACTGCTTGTAGATCAGCGGACGAGCACGTGGGGAAAAGAGGAGGTCGCGGGTTCGACTCCGCCAGGCGCAACCCCGTTTTACCATTGCTCGAAAGTTTATGAAACCAGAAGTCAAGTTTTCGCTATCTAATCTCGAGCTTGCAGGAATTGAGGTCAGGTTTGCAGGCGCAATTTGATACGTTTTCACGTCACAGTTCATCGCATTCGGTTGACGGCGTCCAACTATGATTCTGCGGTATCTGCCAACTCCCCGGATTTCTGAAAGTTTTCAGCGTATCCTGTCCTAGCACTATTACACAAAACGAAAATTTTTCACGAAAACACATCCGATGGCGGCTCACTTCCGCGTTTTTCAAATCCATCTGCAACCAATAGCTTTCGTTCGGTGAGTGCGTTCCCCACTCTTACTATTTTTTTTGCATTTAGAAAGTGATCCGCATTTGCAAGAAAAAATGACTTCCGAGAGTCGTTAGATCTGCTCAAGAACCTCGGGTATCTCTCCGAGCCGAAGAAGCTGTCACCGGGCAAGAGCGGCAAGCCGACCAAGATCGCCACCAATTCGTATCGGTAATATTCATTCCATTTCCTTTTTCATTACTTTATCAGTCTCACGATCAGAAGGGCCACACGATCTTCAAGTACGATGTTCGCATCTACCGAGACCTACGTCAACTTGCAGGGCGTCGCTTCGCTCTTCACGCCAGATAGGACGGAGTGAGTTTTCTATTATCCCCCTTCTCTATCTACCAAGTCAGCTTCACCGAGCAAGATCGCAAGGCGAAGACGATCTTCCTGCTCAAGATGCTGACGGAGAAGAAAGTTGCTGCCGTTCGAGCTCGAAGAAGTCGTGTACGATCGCGCGTCCCCAGCCTGAAAGAAGTACCCGGCGGTCAGCAAGCTCTTCGATGCGGCTACCCTCCAAGGATATGAACACAAGTGCTCGCAGAGAATGCACCGGCGTACTGGTGAGCTCAAGCCGTTGCCGAGAAGACTACGCTGTTGGTGTTTTAGCGTATAGGGCCTGCAACTTCGCTTCCTCTAAATGCAAATTCTTTGCAAACCTTCCTGAATTGTGAACTTTAGCTGACAACCGGACGATGCCTTCCGGGATGGTAATGGTAACATCTTCGAGTTCCTGAACCTGCTGACGTCCCAACATGCTTTCGTCCGCACCGACAAGTTCATCGTCTACCAGTCGAACACGTGCCTTCCTCTTCGACCCCTCTGAGGCCGGATTCCGCGAGGCCGATTGCCCTGCCCTTCCGGACGGCAAGTACCTCGGAATTGGATGCGGCAAGAGCGTACACATCGTCGAAGGCGCTTCGAAGGGCAAC